AAAAAGAGAGGGAGGAGGAGGAGGAGAAAAAGAGAGGGAGGAGGAGGAGGAGAAAAAGAGAGGGAGGAGGAGGAGAAAAAGAGAGGGAGGAGGAGAAAAAGAGGGAGGAGGAGGAGAAGAAAAAGAGAGGGATGAGGAGGAGAAGAAAGGGAGGGAAGAGGAGGAGGAGGAGAAGAAACGGATAAGTGGGCCGCATAAGTGGGTCATATTGTAAAGGAAAGCAGCCACGAACCTTCACTCCGTATTTCACTTTGCCCGCGTAGTGCTTGATGATGAAAGCTGGTTCCATGACCGCTGGAAACTCAATGTACGAGTTGCCTTCGTGCTGCCGCTTGAACTTGTCCAGCAGCGTCTGGTTCGTGGCTTGGGGGAAACTGGGTAAAAAGAGGGGAAGAAAAGAGGTCAGCTATCAATGCAAAAGGGAAAAAACAGCTCAATCACAAATATATATAATATATAGCAATATATATATATATATAAAAATAATATATATACAGACACAAATATATACCTATATATCCTATATATTTGCTCATATGCGCAACCCTATATCTATGAGATATTCTTACAGCTAGGAAATAATACCTCTTTTATCTACAAATGTAATTTGAAGGTGTTACCTGTCTGAAACTAGTGCTCAAGAGGAGGAGGAATAAAAAGAGGGACGAGGGGAGCTGAAGCACAGCAGCAGGAAGCCAGTCCTTCCTCCTTAAGCTTCCCACAAATCTTCTTTGCCTTGTGGGTGCGCTTCCCATTCCCTACTCTACTTCCACGGTCAGTTTTAGACAGGGGGAAAAAGACATCAGGACAGAGATGGACCTCAGGTTGCTTTAGCCTAAGTCCCATATTGCAGCTATAGCTCACTGCGGTCAGCTCAGCTTAACTTTAAGCATCTTCTTTTTCTTTGGTGGCCAGGAATACAAGGGGAGCAGTAAAGCAAGGGAAAACCTTTGCTCACGGCGGGAAGCCCGACATTGAACTTGAATAATTATTAGTCAGGCCGTTCCGCTTCGCTTTTTCCTTCCCTGCTGTCAGCTCTATCTGATGGGAGCTAAAAGGTCAGCAGAGCAGCCCAGCACAATAACCCAACCCGGCCAACGTTGCTGGGGCCCTTGTGGCCTCACTTACTTGCTTTCCTCATCCAGCAGATGGAGCAGCCCCGTTGGCTTCTTGCTGATGAGGTTTATGCAGCCGGAGTTGTCTATGTAGTCTATGTTGTGCCAGCTAATGCCTTCTGCTCTATATTCCTCCTAAGATAAAAACGGGAGAAAAACAGCACATAATATTTGGTACAAGTGTAACGACATGCAGAAGCCTTGCAAAAGAAAGACAGAATCATTTAAAGCAACAGAAAGATGGAACAGAAGAAAATGTGGATCCTGCAGGGACTGATTTTTTTGTAGATAGCTACACAGAAGAAACAGTAGAGCACCTTGCATGATCATCAGGAGCCCAAACGTTTAGATATATATGTACTTAAAAAAAAATGCTGGTGGAATAAATCCATTTACATACACAGAGGAGGAAAAAAATGATGCAACTCCCTTGATGCAACTCCAAATCCCCACTGAAGCCACTCAGAATATCCAGATGAGTGGTGCCACTCACCAACACGCATTACTGTGGCCACTAATGCTTCATTGTCATAAAAATATGACTATTATTACTGGTAAAGCAGCTCACCTAGTTTTTATCACAACCCTTCTCGAACTACTTGTATTGGCATGGTGGGAGCTTGGCACTTTTTTCCCTCAACTCCACAACTGATCACCTAGCATTTGAGGTCTACATAAATCTGAACAGGGCACACAGGTTATTGCTGTTTTAGAAGCTTTCTAGAAGCATTTCTCCTGAACGTGTCAGCCCAATTCAAACAGGGACTTCATTAAGTACTTCATCTTCCATCCTGCAGTGACTGCCTCTGTGCAGAACTTTGGAGATGGCCTTAGAAGTTACATCCAGCCTACTTCCCAGTGAGCGAGACCAAACCAGCTACTGCAGAGCCACGTGCTTCAGCACAAGGGAACTCCTTGGACCTGCTCTCACAGGTCCTGTGAACGCTGGCAAATGACCATCCCTCTCAGCTGCTCTTACTCACTGCCTGGCATTGCAGCCCCTGCCCTGGTTTATGAGCAGGAGATGACTCAAGGTCACCCTTCCCAACACGGTACCTTTGCATGCAACAAGAAACTTGCTGAGGAGCAGCCATGGGTGAAGACTGGAGGAAACTTCCAAGGCGACAGCGCTCCCTGCACCTTGCCTAGGAGCACAGTGCTTTGGAAAAGTGTGAATGGAGCTCCATGGGGGCAGCCTAACTAGCCTGAGCCCAACTTCAATGAGTTTAGACTCAGGAGAAACAGCCAGAAGAGACTGACACCATCTGGAGAAAACACCTATCATCTTTCCCGATCACAAAGCTGGAGATGTATCTGATAGCAGCTGGGGAGCAATCGACCCTGGAGCAGAACTTCTCACACGTCTGTCGATAGCAGCAGCAAGGAGATGACCTGCAAGGCATGCTGAGGCCCAGACGTGAGAACATCTGCAGCAGTTGGTCCCGGTCCAGCTAGGAGTGCCCGGTCTTCTGAAACACGTTCTTCTGAAAGCTGGGAGAGAATCGGGAGCGCGTGTGAAGACTGACGCGCTGAGGGCAGTAACTTTGGAGGAGAGAAGCAGCAATTTTAGCCATCTTGGCAGGGTTCACTGGAACTCATTTCGCAGCACTCCCGAGATACGGTCTGCGCTGGAAAGGGCTCGCAAGCTTTCTGACAAGCTCTTGAAATATGCAAAGGCAGGTCAGAGTGCTCTTGCTGGCACAGATTGTATCAGTTCTGCAGGCAAAACGTTATTGGCAAAAACAACTCTTTGACAGAGACACACGCCTATCCTAGGACCTCTGGCGAAGTATCAATGTTATGAAGACTCATACCATTGACATTACTAGTATCTGCAGAGTTTCTAGTCCAGTAAAGCCCACAGATTCCTATTTTTGGCCTCTGCTCTTCCAAAAAAACCTGCTGCCTTACTCTTCCCACCCCTGGGAGAAGGAACCTTGGGTTACTGCAGGCAGAGGGTGGAGTGCTGCGATTACACTGAGGAGGAACGAGCCGCGTTTCGGCTGCGCGCCGAGCTCCCAAACACAGCTCCGTCCTAAATAAAAAGAGGCTAAATATTCCATAGCATTTCCAAAATAATCCATAGCAACTCAGGCTCCTCAGAGTCCAGCAGCTGGATATTCTCCTGCAGCTATACAGGCTGAGGAGCTACCGACCGTTGTCCAGATGACCTACCGAGTAGGTCCAAGCAGATGAGCAGCTTCCAGGTTAGTGCTCGTGTGCATCCCTGCTCCTCGGAGCACCTCGGCACGATTCTGTTGGCAGGGAGACTTATGGAGACTCTCTCTTATGGAGACTTGTCAAGTGACGTTGGCTAAATGGATGAAACTTTAAAATGTGCATACTTAGAACGTGCACACATAGGTCTTTGCTGATGTCAGATATATGTGTAGATATATTTCAGAATATTTCAGAATATTTCAGAATATTTAAGGTTGGAAGGGACCTCTACAGATCATCTAGTCCAACCTTCCTGCTCAAGCAGGCACACCTASAGCATGTGGCACAGGGTGGCATCCAGGCGGGTTTTGAAGACCTCCAGAGWAGGAGACTCCACAACCTCCCTGGGCAGCCTGTTCCACTGCTCTGTCACCCTAACAGTAAAGAAGTTGCTCCTCACCTGGAGACGGAACTTCTTGTGTTTCAGCTTGTGGCCATTACCCCTCGTCCTATCGCTGGCCACCAGTGAGAACAGCCTGTCCCCTTCCTCCCTGCATTCTCCCTTCCTGAACTTATACATATTGATCATATCCCCTCTGAGCCGTCTCTTCTCCTGAGAAAACAGGCCCAGCTCGCTCAGCCTCTCTTCATACGAGAGATGTTCCATTCCCTTAATCATCCTGGTTGCCCTTCTCTGGACCCTCTCCAGAAGCTCCACGTCTCTCCTATACTGGGGTGCCCAGAACTGMACACAGTACTCCAGGTGCGGCCTCACCAGAGCTAGATGTGGTGAGATATAGATGTGTAATCTTTCTTTATAGTCACACGTTATTGTCTAAGGCACATGAGCACACAGGATTAGCACGGAGCAAATAAACAGAATTAGCAGAATTCCCGACGTTGTGAAAAAGAACTACAGCAAATAGAAACACTATCAACGAGGAATACTGAGGATTTTGCCAAGATAAAGCAGGTGTAACAAGGAGCAATGTACTGATATTAAAGGACAAGTGCTGCACTATCAGGAAAATATTCTTGATAACTGGGATACAAGAACAGAGAGAAGACACCACGAATGCAAGACATCTGTACTTCTAAAGCTTAGCGTGTGCAGAAACAAGTCAGTTACCTTTACTTAGATGTTAAACCAGACAGAAAGGCTCTTTGATCTGCAACACAGGGGCTGATATATTCCGACTGCCAGGAAATACCCCCAAGGCCAAGAGCATCTTTGAGGAAGCAGCTGGATGCCAGGAAACACCATCTGCCCATCACATCCACCCAGACAGGGGGACAACCCACAGGAACCTGCACTGCGCCGAGTCCACCCCACTTTATTCATTTGACCCGAGCTTAATCTGTGCCTCTCTTAACCTGTGTCTCTTCCAATCTAATCCGAGTAGAGAATTCCCTCCACATTTATTTATATAAAAAAAAAAATGCAGCAGACTTTTGGTTAGGAGATTAAATTTTGATTATATGTCAGTTGGAAGTGCAGGAAATCGCATGCGATAAAGCCCTCAATCCGTGCCTTGGACTCCCTCCAGCACAGAGCCTCCGGCATCTTTCCCTTTCCCTCCTTCCTCAAGATGGGGCAAAACTGAAGGGAAAACTAAGCTGTAAAAAGCTATGGGCAAGTATGGCCGTGTGAACACACTACTATTTAATATGCACTCCTAGGTCATCTTGCACATCGTAGAGATAAAAAGAATTAAATCTTGTAAGGATGAAACATTTAAAAAAATCATTAATTATTTGCATGGCATTGTATGCAAATGAAAGCTGATCATTTATGTGCCCCCTGCAAAAATACCCGCTTCAGAAGCACTGGAATAAATCACTGCAGCGAAGGGAAACCCTGCGGACTCATTCGCTTCCTTCCCAGATGGGGCCGGATAAGCTGCAGGACTTTATCTGCCAGAGCTTGTTATCCCACAACTTTTCCCAGCGAGGCAGATGAAGGCCTTGTTTATGCCCCAAAACTCTCAGAATAAAGCAGGAAACCAGTGGAAAAATAGTTCTTCTGGAGGAGCTACATGTGGGAATACTTACTGCCATGCAAGGTTATGTGGGCATTAAAAATTGCTCCAGAATACCCCACTCAATACCCACTACTTGTATTTTTAGGTGATATATGCTGGTTTTGGATGGAATCAATAACCAAACATTCCCCATTTTCTTTGTGAATGCTTTTTTCCCCCAAAATTCAGGACAGAGAGCAGGAAGTGAGTTGCTTTCATTTCTTTTTTCATTCTTTGCCTACTTCCCCAGTTCTTCCCTAAAAATATTACAAGCAAGTCAATTCTTCACCCCTTTGATTGAAGCTTTCACAAATTCAAGCTTAGAGGCAGTAAACCCATGGCTATAAATTGTGACTCACTGGACTGCAAGACACTTGACATCTGTGCGACAACACACTATCGACCTTTCAAATTCAGACAGACCCAATGATCCCACCTGCATCTCCAGGAGCTCAATTCAGAAATTAGGACAAAATACCCTACCTTGAAAATCCACTGGGAAAAATGAGAGCATTCACTTTCTAAAAATGACTTTAAATGAGGTCCTGGCCAACCTGCAACCATGCTGTCTAGATCACGCTCATCAGGTTCTTGGTCACCCCTTCATCTGCAGACTCATCCCAATGATCCATCGGGAACCAGCATCCCAATGCCAGTGCCAGCCGTTGGGACAAAGTCAGAAGAATGATGGTGGAAATATGACATTCCTCATTCAGGAGAAAGAAAAATGCAATAAAACAAAAGGAGTGGGTGATCAAACCCTACAGCACAGCAGGGACACCCAAGGCAGTTAGACCTCCCTTGACTCCTTATGAAGATAAACAGTGCTTGGGAGGTGGTTTTTGAAGGCTGGAAGGGGCAGAGGAGCTCCTGGCGACCTGCTGCTTGGCTGGCATCTCCATCCAGCCCGAGTGCACCAGACGGTGTCAAGCTGTGAATCAAGTCATCATCATA